GGATGTTTATCGCCTCTAAGTCTAAACCCGAAATTTCGCCCCGATGGACTACAAAGGAAGACCTGCGTGTCATAATGTATCAGTATTCGTTTGCGCACGATGATCCTGCGATTTTCCCATTCTTACCGATATGAGACTGCGGCTGCTGCGAGTCGGTGCATCTTTCCGCCTGATCGAGCGCCTCGGCGGAAGTATCGCCGGTTCCGCCTTTCAGGGAACGATACAACGACCGCATCTTGCTGCCGGATGAGTGACCGGGTGGCGTCTTCGGCTTCGCGCTGTCCGGCGACTTGCGCGAACGCCGGCTCTGACTGCGATCACGCCCGTCTTCTCTGCCTGGCGATTTCTTACGATCGTCCTTTTGCGTTCTGGCCTTCTCGATCAATTGACTAAGCACGCCCCGCTTTGGATCGGTTGATTTGGCCGTCCCGTACACAACTATATTGCCGCTCGAATCCAAAACGGCGCCAACACCACCGGACGGTGTACGACATCGCGTTGGTATCTCCTTCGTTTCTGTATAACAAATTAAATTGCGAATTAAGTATAAATATTCGATGCATCTTATTTTATTGTCAAACGTGATCTGAGGGAACACCAACACGTTCGAGATGCTTTCTCACCTTTCATGTATAGCGCGTTATCGGCACTCGTGGCAGTGCTACGTGGATGACGATGATCCTTCGTCGGTGCTTGAGCTTGTGGATGCGGTGGTGGTTCTTGCATCTGTAAGCGCGCCAGATGATCCAGCAACGCTTGTAGATGTTGATTATCGGCCGCGTCCGCCGCGGCCACACTCACTTCTCCAGCGCCGATGCCTATCGAGAACGACTTGACAAAGGGTTCCAGATGCTGAGCGAGCACTTGCAGTTTTTTCACTTCGCTCCTCAATGATAATATGTCATTCATCTGAATAGGAACAGCATGAGAGTAAATAATAAAGAAATTACCACGATCAAAAGTCGCCCATCATTTTTTGGATATAAGAGCTATAGTAGATTGTGACAATCATAAAATTGGCATATCTTAACGGTTATGGCTGTAAAGATATGTCTATCTTACGGTTATTACTACCAAATGTATTGATGAGCGAAAATTATTATTATTTCTGGTTATGACCATAACATTTTTTCTGTGAGATAGAGATCATTGTGATATCAAAATGATTCCAAAATGATGATTAAAAGTCAGTTTTGAATCATTTCCGATTTATTTTAATATCATTTTAATGTTATCCTGACTTGTTGTTCTGCTTAGGCTGAGAGAACATACTTGAGAATGGAAAATCTCCTTTTCTATGTGAATCCTGCACATCTGTTCCTCCCAAAGAGCGTCGAAAACATTTCTCAGTCGCTCCAATTCCATTTGATGATGCTCCAATTGTTGCTCGAGCAAACGGCAATCCCTTGCCACATGATCGTAACGCGTACCTAACGGCGGAGTGTTTGCTCTCTTTAAAACGGAAACATCCCGTTGCAATTCGCCCAATCGTTCCTTCACAGTCATCAATTGCTGACTTAGTTCCTTCAATTGGGTATCAAAAGTCCGACAGTGATTGGAAAACGGGCCGCTATCAGGTCCACTTTTTGTCGGCAGCCTCTGAGTGACCTTGCTGCTCTGTTGGGAAAACGTATTCCTGGCGTAAAACGCGAATGGTTTATTAGCGATCTTATTTAATTATATTTTGCATCAACTTTTGATTATCATTTACGATCTATAATTTCTAACGATCCATAAATAAAACTGAAGAATTTAAACAATACAAATAATAATTTAAGTATCAGAAAGAAAAAAATTTGTGATGCGAAAATGATGGATAATCACGATGGAGGATCATCGATCAATCGTGAAATTCCTCGTTTCGCTTGCACCTGTACCTGAAGCACTTGCGGTTCCGGCTGGCCTAGTGTATGACCACCGGCCATCTGATCATACAGCGATTCTGCGGTAACCTTCGGTGTCTGCACTTGACCTATGTAGGGATGTAGAGCACGCGCAAAATCGGCCCGATAATTCGTCTTGATGTGAGCAGCGAGCAGAGGTGGCCGCGATGGATGGCCCAGTTGAGCGACGCGACTCAGCCGTTCCAGCATCGGATGCGCCAGCTCGAGGAACTGATATTTGGTCGCGCCAGTGGTGAACGCGGTGCACAGCATTAAATGCATCTGCAGCACGGGTAACGCGCTACCCAGCGCAAGTAATTGCGTACGCACCATGCGCTCCTTGGTGTCGAATTGACGCTGCAACTCTGCGAGGACATACGCGTGCGTCTTGTTGATCGCCTCCTGCATACCTTGACAGAAGGCGGTCAATGCGCGCTTCTCAGACTCGAGACTGTGCCGCAGCTCGTCCAGCTGCGACTTGAGGGCCAATACGCCGTCCTTAATGCCGGCCTGAAGCTCGCAGATGGAGTTTACCGCGCGCTCCATCTTCTTCGAGGCCTGCTGCCAGGCGCTTTCAATGTCCACGCAGTGCACCCGCGCGTCCGGAGGTGTATCGCGAAAGCACGTAGCGCACAGCATGCACTTGGCGCTCTGGCTATACATTATGTACTGCTCGCCATGGCTCGGACACCGACGTTGAGTGTCCTTGGCGCATTTGCTCATATGCACCACCTCATGAGTGGAGAACATTTTTGCACGATGAGTATGTTCTCTGCAGTGAGTGCAAAGCGCTTGTCCTGTAAATATGTACAATATATTTCTTTTTACATTCTGGATAACTTGATACTGATATTGAAAGATATTTCTTTAATAAACATACCGCATGTTGTACAGAAAAACATAGTGGATTTATCGCGTTTATCGCAATTGGCACATGGTGGATTTTCGGAGTTTGCCAGTTCCACTAATTGGCGTATCAGCTGATCGGGGGGTGGTAATTGTGCTCCATCTTTCAACTGCGTTTGTTGCCTGTATAATTATAAATAATAACACAATGCAGCATTATTATATATCACTTGTAATATCATAGAGAAAATTATAATTTAATAATATGTTACAATTAATATAGAAAGCAATAGGAGAAACGTTTCAGTTTTCTTGGAACCACTGAGTCTAAAGAATACTTGAAATTGTAGATTCTTTATTGTAGAATTATATTGTAGAATTTTAATTGTAGAATTCTTTAATGTTATACAAAAGATGAAACATACGGAAATGAAAATCTGAATTTGCAATAAGAAATATTAATATTGCGCATGCATATGTCAACCGTTGAATAAATTGTCACATGTTGTTATCTACCCGCAGATGGGGCACTTGATTGTCCCGTCGATGTGCGGTCCGTGTATGCAATGGGCGCAGAAGGTGTGAAAGCAGGAGAGCAGACAGGGCTCGTTGTAGTAATCGTGGCAGACACCGCAGGTAAGAGGATTCCTAGGTCCGCCGCTCGGCACGCCCGTCGTACCGTCGTCGCCAACCCCGTCGACCGCCGAGCCCGAGCTCGCCATCGTCGCCGGCACTCGGCCACCCTGAGTCGCGCTGTTGACCACGCGCGCGCCAACGACACGCGCCTTCCGCCTCACTTCACGACACCGCTCCCTGTTCCATGTTCGTGTACCTCTCTGCAGAAGAGAACGTAAACGATTTATGGGGATGCTGCGCGCGCGTAATCTTATCACGGGACGACATAAACAACGGGCGTCCAGTGGAATGCGATCGCGATATTTAGAATGATATTTTTTTTTACCCCTAGATCGTCGGCCCGCCCGCACAAAGAGAGAGAGAGAGAGAGAGAGAGAGAGAGAAAGAGAGAGAGAGAGAGAGAGAGAGAGAGAGCCCCGACCAAAGAGGGTGGTTTAACGGCTGCTGCTTGCTCAACTCCTCATTCTGACGTAGCGCGATGACCAACCCCGTCTCTGCGCAACTGACGATTAGAGCAATGACGTCACCAAGGCGCCTACCATCCCCCGCGATTTCGCCCTCGTCACCCCTTGTGCAGGCACGCATACAACGATGCATGGAAACGACGTATACCACACACACACACACACACACACACACACACACACACACACACACACACACACACACACACACACACACACACACACATACACACACATATGCATGTACGTGCAGAGATTTGCGCGGTCGACCCGGCTCGCACTCGTCCTCACCCTCTCACTCTCACCCCATTCCGCGGCCAGCACCACCCGTATGTATTTACATGTATATACACGCACTCCACATGTATACGATGACGAAACTCGGGCATTGGTGCAGAAGAGTGCAGGCAGACGCCAAATAGGATGGAGAGCAACATCTAAAAAAGAAATATGTATAAGAACATTAATCGCGCACATCCCTTTTCCTAAAATGAAGTTTTTTTTTTACTTATAAACCTTATACTTATTTTTTTTTTCGTCGACACATACGCGCGTATAAATCTTTTCGGTTTGTTAATATCGGCAATCCATCCCCTTGCTCCATCAGAGGGATCCGAAATAAACTGGTGGGATCTGCAGAGGATACATCGTATCTAGGGCAAGAGATTTGATCGCTGTAGAGCTGTCTTATGAAACACAATGTATTCCGAATATATTCTTCATTTCTCTATTTTTTTCGATTGGCTTCTCAGTAGAAATAAAAATTGTAAAGCTGCAAAAAGAACAAGAAAGGCACAATGGAGAAGCAAGAATATTCATAATTTAATAATTTATCTATTCATATCGGCAATTTTAAATAAAATAATTGCGTATCTAATGAAACTGTCTTTTCTATTATTCATGATCAATTGATTTATCAATTATTACTCTCTTTATTAATCCAAATTGTAAAATATAAACTTTTAATACATATATATAGTGTATATATATATATATACTATATATCCATTGCATTATGTCTATCGAAGAATCTTTTGAACAGGTCACTGAATGCCGACTTTTCGGTTCCTTCGTATTCTATGATTGTTTAATACAACATATTTTTTATATTGACCTACTGGTATACGTAGACTTGATTATCGCTACATGTAGAATGTATTCAAGAATGTGTGCGATCAAGCTTCCCTTCTGCCAAACTTCGCACAAGCACTTTTTCCCATTCAAATCTCAATTATCCACTTATCAATTATCCTTCCATTTGTATCTCAATTTACCCTACTTGAGTTCTGATTATTCAATTATCCAATTAAAGAAATATTCCGCACTCTATTCATATCATTCATCCTAAAATTCTCTCACATCATGAAACATTTTAATTATCCGGCTAAGGTAATATTTTTTGCAATAATTAAATAAAAGTATTATAAGGCTTTGATGAATATAAATTCAATTGCTATATATCTGAATTATTCGGGCTGCATTAGGTAATATTTTTTGCTAACAAACAAAATTATTTGCAGGCTTTAAAATGCTTATCAGCATCAGAGTATTAAGATCTTTCTAACGTGCTTGTAAATATTATAATCTTATTAAATTGCTTTATGATATTATTCAAGTTCTGTTAGGATTGTATTCAAAGACTGCAAATTAAATTCGAGGCGCAGTTTGTAGGATTGAATATGTATAGTATATATATGTATAGTATGTATAGTATATATATATATATATATATATATAT